ATGATTTTACAAAAAAAAAAAAAAAAATGTCCTTCTGACTAAAAACGTTTAAAACCTGATTTCGGCACACCTCACAGGTAATATCAGGCACTGCAGCAAAGGTCAGCTGTGCCTTTCACTCTTGAGGGCCCTTATAGAACAGAGGTTCTTCCAAATTCTAGAGCCTTAGCAGATGCACAAAGAGTCACTGCTTGGCTGTCTCTGCCTGAGCAGCCAATAATCTACCTGCAAATAGACTCCGCCCCCAGCCACAGCCCCAAACAGGTATTGGAAACGGAAGAGAACCCTTAACCACCCAAAATTATCACAGGGCACAGCGTAGGTTAAAAAAAGCAGCAACTGAGATTAAATCAGGTCTAGTGCATATAAGGGTCTACTATGAGGAACCAATGGTGTTGTTGGGCTTTAAAGAGTCAAGTGTTTCACCTTTAATGCTCTCAGCATGCCTCTGGGAGTCATACCTGTGGCTGTCAGAGTTTTGCAATGCCTCATAGGAGGTTGCCCAACCTTGCTGTCACGTGCTTTGTCCCCTTTATTGGTACACACGGTAACGCATGTGGAGCAAACAATGGCAAAAATGCACCAAATAGAATAGTGAAAACCTAAAAAAAAAAAAGGAATAAATAAAAGCTTGGAACGCACCTGAAACTGCAAGTTACAATGCAAACATTGATTGGCACCAAGACTCTATGCCAAATAAAGACTACAATATTTGACTGACCTCCCGTTTCTGGGGGTCGTTCCTCCGCTATCAGCTATTTTTACATTCATGAGAACCTGTCAGACAGATTGAACTTTTAAAAACAAAAGTCTGGCCTGAAGCAAATTCCAGTTGCTGCCAACTGCCACTTTCAAGGGCCAGAGGAATGGACAAGGCCCAACTGTCACTTAGGCAGGGCCCAACTGTCACTTAGGCAGGGCCCAACTGCCACAGTAAGTCAGATCCCATTCATAAAATTAAACTAGCGCACGTCAGGCTTTTCTAGGTGATATAAGAACAGTAATCACCTCGACATGTCTGCTCTCAGGCAGAAACGTACTAATAAAAGTTTAATGCTGAACTCCGGGAATTACACAAAAACTACCCATGCAGCGTTGCCCCCCTTCACTGCAAGGGTTAAGTGCTTGCCAAGTCTAGGGCTAGGAGGATAAGACGCATTACTTACCTTACTCCTCCCTCCGACAGGCTTCGGGCACTAACCTCTTCCCTCCGACACTGGGTTGTAGGCAGGCCCTCCCGCACAATGCGGGGCTATTGGTCCTGCACTGTATGCGCTGCGGTCAGTGTGCGACCAACGTCCGTAGTGTGAATAAGAAGGGGCTCCGAGGAGACCGCGCACACAAATGGAGGAAGCCTGCTGGAGCGAGGAATGAGGTATTACGGCTTATTCCTCTACCCCAGGGGTGGGCACCTTCGTTCCTGTAGTTCCACAAGAGCTGGAGGGCCATAGTCGCTTTACCCCCAAGACTTAACCAGCATTTAACCCTTGCAGCACAGAGGGCCCCCCACTGCAAGGGTAGATTTTGTGTAATTCCCAGAGGTTCAGCTTTAAAATGGCCGACAGGTTCACTTTAAAGCGCCGATGCGCGTTTCCATCCGATCAGCTGATTTTGCTAAATTGTTTCATATTCTGATTAATGTGTCAACATTATTCAGCCACAGCTATTGGTGTTTGAAGTGAGCCGGGGCAAAGCCAAAGGGCGTTTAATGCCACAAGTAACAGCCGTGCCAACTTGATTATTAGATGTAAAAACTAAAAAAGAGAAAAGGAAAGTTAAATCACATGTACCCGTCATTTTACCTTGAAGCTGCACTTAGCTGGCCACACACGCCTCAAGTTTCAGCTTGCTGACTCAGACAAAATTAAAATTCATGAGTGGTCCATTAGGCACCACTGCGCTCAATGATTTTTTAATAAAAAAATGGGGTGAAAATTGGGGGCGGAACAATCAGCGACAGGTGTCGTCTGTCTGACAATTGGGGGCGGAACAGTCAATCAGCGGCAGGTTGCGGCGGTCAGATTTCAATAGCCAGCAGGGAATATTCCCCTGATGGGATTGAGCGAGAGAAAAAACGCGGAGGGTATGGTCAAGTTTAGCACCCTGGCCTGGAGTTCTCCTTTACAAAATGGGGGTCCTAGTATACAAGTGCCATATAAAGTTTACAACTTTGTGTCACCACAAGCCCTTGTAGTACAAAGGTTTCCTCTGTAGATAGCCCTAAAATGACCGGCCCCCCTCCCCCCCCAACACCATGGATGTGCCCTGACAGGGGGAGGTGCAGGGATGAACAGGAGTGTGCGAGGTTTATTATGACCCCCTTCAAGAATGGAAAATAAAATTAAACTCTTAGTTACAACCATTAGTGCTCGCCAGACCAGCTATGTACTGCCGCCGCTCCTCCCCTGCGGTACATTCTGTGCATGCAGAGCCGCCCAGTCACGGCAGAGCCACCCACGGCAGTGCAATTGGAGTGAGTTGTCCCCCATGACAGAATGTAGTCAGCAAAGCTCCTCTGGTGCTCTGCGGAGGGTGGGGGGAACCATAACCCCCGGCGGGCCCGGTAAATAACATGTGCAGTACACAGCAATTGGTTGAGTCAAAGGAGGGCAGCTCATCTGTATCCCATCATCATACATTCCATGCCCAGCAAAGCTCTGAGTGGTGGGCTACTTATACCCGCAGATGTGGGGAGAACCAGGCTCAGGAAGTGTGGTGGCACATGGACGTCATTTAGACCAGCACTGCGTCCCTCTGAAGATGCTAACTGCTTGGCCGTCACACTGATCCTATGGCTTCAAATCCTTAAACGAGCATGCAGATCAGGAATTCTGACTTCACCGGAGAAGTGAAAAGAGCAGCAGGACACAGCCAGGCAACTAGCAGTTTCAGATCAAGTCGGCAAAGGCAGCCTACATATTCTGGTGGCTTTATTGTTCTACACCATTAATGGGGAACTCGGCCTTTACATTTATTTGGTCTTGTGTACCTGGCTCTGCCACGATCCTCATTTTCTGGATGGCCCAGAACTGGAGTTAGGCCAACATGGGCACCGCTCTTTCCCTGAGCCTGCAGCAGAGTAACCCAGTACCAAGACCGTGTCCTTTAGCACCCAAGGCGACAAGGCCAAAGTGCGCCTCGTCAAAACTCTAGAGACTGTAAAGGGTTAACATTGTGCGGAGATGTGCGTTTTACTCGCTCTAGTGGCTATACTAACACATTTACACATGCCTACAATTCCCTGTGGGTCCTGTGTCAGGGCTCATTCAGATGGGCGGCTGCAGAGAACCTGCCATTCTTGCTGGCCCCCTGCACACGTTGGGTGCGAACAGCCGTGGCCAGCAGATGCATGGCCACACATGTACCCCGTTCAAATCAATGGCCGGCAGTGCTGCTTTTTGTGTGTAAATGCTCATACGAGCGGTTACATGCGATTGGGTCCTCTGCATCCATCAAGGTCTGGTCGTACACAAACTGTGATGCAGATGCAGAAATTTAGGCTCATCAGTCAATTCACCCATCTAGATGAGCCCTTACAGCAGCGGACACAATCAGGGGGAGAGGATGAGAAGGATGATAAGGAATGCAGACATAAGCTGCCCTAGAATCAGATTACATGCAGTGTGTTCTTTCTGAGGCTGCCATATGGGTAACCTATAAGGGTATATGTGTACAGCTGTAAGAATCAGCAATCGCTATGTAGAGACATAGGGACGTGTTTGTACAGCCATATGGATAACCTATGTGGACGTGTGCGTACAGCCATATGGATAACCCATAGAGACATGTGCGTACAGCCATATGGATAACCCATGTGGACGTGTGCGTACAGCCATATGGATAACCCATAGGCACTTTGGCGTACAGCCGTATGGATAACCCATAGGGACATGTGCCTACAGCCATGTGGAGAACCCATAGGCACATGTTCGTACAGCCATATGGATAACCCATAGGCACTTTGGTGTACAGCATTATGGATAACCCATAGGCCCTTCGGTGTACAGCCATATGGATAACCCATAAGGACATGTGCCTACAGCCATATGGATAACTCATAGGGATGTGTGCCTACAGCCATATGGATAACCCATAGAGACAAGTGCATACAGCCATATGGAGAACCCATAGAGACAAGTGCATACAGCCATATGGATAACCCAAAGGCAGTGCCAGGTCAACGTTCTATAGCATCCAAGGTGAAAGAGCCAACGTGTGCCTCCCCTATGGCCTGTGAGCTACCTAAGCAGCATAGGTTTCAGGTCTTGCCCTTTTTGCGTCCCCCCCCCCCTCCTGCTGAAGCACCCAAGGCCTCTTCTGCCCACCCGTGAGCCCGGCCCAGCCCATAGGGGGTATGTGTACAGGATAAAAGAATAAAGAATGCAGTATCATTCTCTTGTAATGTAAAATTGTTATAGAATATTGTCTGAATATTGGTTTTGGACAATGTATACAAATCATAGTGCTGGTTCTGGACGGCATCTATGTGCCAACACTCACAGAAGCTGAAAAGGTCCTGATATCTCTACAACCGGTCGAGCCTGATTAGCACCGAAATCTGCCGTTGGCCTCCTTGTCCCGTGCAGGGGTAGCCCGTGTGGACGGCTCTGGTCCTGGGTGCAGTGCAAGTGGCTCTGTGGCGGGTCGGAGCGGGGCAGACACACAGCTGGCCCTTGTAATATGGTAAATACTGAAGCTGTAGCCGCCAAACAACCCCTACATTAAAAAACAGGGTTTTTATATTACACATGTATAAATATATATATATAGAACGCAAATGACATTTACAAAGAGAATACAAACCGCGGGACAGACCATTTCCGTGTGTGTGTGCTCACCACTCATGCTGAACAAACTGTGTGTGTGTGTGTGTGTGTGTGTGTGTGTGTGTGTGTGTGGATATCAGTCTGTCTGTACATCTGTCTTCCCTTCATTCACATGTCCCGTATTCTATAGCAGATATCTGTGACATGAGGGGGGGTTCTGGACCCTTTTTTCACAAATACCTGTACATGAGTTGGCTTAGTTTTCCTGGCTGTGTATGTTATGGTACTTAAAGGTATGTGTACAAAGCAGCATCTATGTGTGTAGATCGCTATGGAACCTGCATATGTACGGAGCAGTATGGATTCTGCATAGGGATGTGTGTGGAGCAGTATGGATCTTGTATGCGTGTCGTTCGGTATGTATCCTGTATAGGTATTTGTGTGGTTCAATATTGACGTTGTATATGTATGTGTGTGGACCATGTATAGGGGTGTGTGTGGACCATGTATAGGGATGTGTGCGGACCATTATGGACCTTGTATATGTATGTGTGTGGACCATGTATAGGGATGTGTGTGGACCATTATGGACCATGAATATATATATGTGTGTGGAGCAGTATGGACCATGTATAGGGATGTGTGTGGACCATGTATATGTATGTGTGTGGACCATGTATAGGGATGTGTGTGGACCATGTATAGGGATGTGTGTGGACCATGTATAGGGATGTGTGTGGACCATGTATAGGGATGTGTGTGGACCATGTATATGTGTGTGTGTGTGTGTGTGGACCATGTATAGGGATGTGTGTGGACCATGTATATGTGTGTGTGTGTGTGTGTGGACCATGTATAGGGATGTGTGTGGACCATGTATAGGGATGTGTGTGGACCATGTATAGGGATGGGTGTGGACCATGTATAGGGATGGGTGTGGACCATGTATAGGGATGGGTGTGGACCATGTATAGGGATGGGTGTGGACCATGTATAGGGATGGGTGTGGACCATGTATAGGGATGTATGTGGTTCTGTATGTATCCTGTATAGGCATTTGTGTGGTTCAGTATGGACCTAACATGTGTGCAGAGCAGGGAGTGGTACACACTGTATATAGTAGTACACATCAGCTATAGTAATCCTGTGTATGTGTACAGCAGTACAGATCCTGTGTGTGGACACTTCGAGGGATTACTTTTGTGTATGGCAGTAGAATTCCCAGGAATACAGCGGTATAGGTTCAGTGTCCATCTACACAGCCCGTATATAAAGCTGTATCGATGCCCTTTAGGGGTACGAGTACAGTAGTAAAGATCTTGCTTATGGTCTGTGTATATGGCAGTGTATGAATCCCAGTGTACAGTAGTATGGCTTCAGGGTATATGCATACGTGCACACAGTGAAGCCTCTATGTGTGTACAGCAGAGTTTGGCTCCACAGGTTATCTGTGTTTGTGTATATACAGCAGTACTGGCCCCCCACCATTTAAAAAAACAAACCCTCTATATAGGACTGTGGGTCCAGGTTTATGATGCCAGTGTACATGTATACATGCACAGTACAGGTCCTAGAGATGCAGCAGTATAGATCCCTGTGCGTATAAAGCAACACAAAGCCTTGTATAATGCGTACAGCAGTAGGGATCAGCAGTGATAGTTTACAGCCAGGGTATGTGTGTACAGCTGTATGGATCAATGATGAGTGTGTACAGCCATATAGATAACCCATAGGCATACCTGTGTACAACTGTAGGGATCACCAATGAGTGTGCACAGTTATATGGATAACCCATAGGTGTATGTGTGTGGACAGCTGTAGGGCTCAACACCGATTGTGTACAGCCATATGGATAACCCATAAGGGAACATGTGTACAACTATAAGAATCAGCAATCACTGTGTACAGCCATATGGATAACCCATAGGGACATGTGTGTACAGCCATATGGATAACTCATAGGGACATGTGCGTACAGCTATATGGATAACCTATAGGCAGTGCCAGGTCAACGTTCTATAGCATCCAAGGTGAAAGAGCCAACGTGTGCCTCCCCTATGGCCTGTGAGCTACCTAAGCAGTATAGGTTTCAGGTCTTGCCCTTTTGTGTCCTCCTTCAACACCCAATGTCTCTTCTGCCTATCCCTCAGCCCGGCCCTGCCCATAGGGGTATGTGTATACAGGTGTTGGGATCAGCAATGAGTGTGTACAGCCCTATGGCTAACTCAGAGGTGTATATACAGCTGTATGCATCAGCAATGTGTGTGTTCAGCTGCGTGTATAACCCATAGGCGTATATGTGTATAGTCTGGATCCACAATGAGCACGCACAGCTATATGTATAACCTTAGGGGTACACTGTGTGCATAACCCATAGCGGCATATGTGTACAGCTGTATGTATAATCCATAGGGGCCTATGTGTACAGCTGTATGTGTAATCCACAGGGGTATATGTGTACAGCCGTATGTATAATCCATAGGGGCATATGCGTACAGCTGTATGTATAACCCATAGGGGTATATGTGTACAGCTGTATGTATAATCCATAGGGGCATATGCGTACGGCTGTATGTGTAATCCATAGGGGTATATGTGTACAGCTGTATGTATAACCCATGGGGGCATATGCGTACGGCTGTATGTGTAATCCATAGGGGCATATGCGTACGGCTGTATGTGTAATCCATAGGGGTATATGTGTACAGCTGTATGTATAACCCATGGGGGCATATGCGTACGGCTGTATGTGTAATCCATAGGGGCATATGTGTACAGCTGCACACATGAATATCGCAGGATGGGCCCCTGTGTCTATCAGTTGGTATAGAGCAGTATGGAGTCAGAAATTGTACAGCGTTGTGTATGTGTCCTTTGCTTGGATTGAGAGTCCCGCCCTCGAGCACACGTTATTGGTGGAGGTGATGGGAGATTGGCGCACAGGTTCGGAGGGTCACTGCTGTTCCTTGTTACTGTTCTTATCAGTGGTGTTCAGATTGATGTCCTGGGAGGAGGAGGAGGGACGGCGTGGGGGCATGCGCTCGTTGACCCGATCCAGACCTCGGGCTTCTTCGAAGCTGCGGATCTTGTGCTGGGGGGAGAAGCTTTGGACAGCTGTGGGGAGAAGAGATGGCATTCCAGGTAAAACCAAGGCAAGTAACACGAGAGGGTAACAGGCAAATACAGTGGAGGATCAGCACGTCTAATGCCGTGTACATGACAAGCCTACAGGCAGCAGACAAGATCTTTAAACAACACCTTTAACAAGAAAAAAAAGCTATGCCTGCTGCCATTGCTCCTTCTGAAAATGCTAGTTGCATGGCTGTCACATATTTTCTGTGTCACTAACCCGAAACGGGCATGCAGCCAGTGAAGTCCGAACTCCTGGTCTGGATGGGACACTAAAAGCACCAAAGCCACTGGGATCAGCATGCCAGTCCAGCAGCTTAAGCCAAAATACTCTAGCTCTCTCAGTACAGGAGCTCCATGTAAGTGAAGCAAGAACTGTCTGTGTTATCCACAACAACACCATTCTACAAGGCGTGTTGTAAAAGAGCAAATGATAGAAGATGACTGCATGCAAAGAGCAACCCAGACAGTTCTTCTTTCAGAGCTATTGAGAAACGAGGGCCCTTTGTTTCTCCTGGCCCCAACTTGTACCCTATGAGAGTGCATGAGGGATGCCGGGTTCATCCTTAGACTGACCATTCAGTCCTGCTGCAATAAAAGTACTGATGTTAGAGACAGCCTGGCAACCAGCATTATTAAAAGGAGATCAACAGCCGCACCTTCTATACGTTCCACTGGAACAGAAAGCACTGAATCCATTTGGATCAACATGACAGCCAGGAAACGAGTATTTTCAGAAGGTAAAGGACGACCATGGCAGCTTTATACTTCCTCAGTACAGGTTTCTTTTAAAGCAAACCTTTCCTAGGAGAGACACGGAGGCTGCCATTGCTACTTCTCATTCTGTAAACACCAGCTTCCTGGCTGCCATGTTTACTCTCTTGCTTTTATACTCTCTGTCCATTACGAGCAGGGATGCACCGATACTAGTATTGGTATCAGTGCTGATGCCGAGTATTTGGGCTCGTACTCGGCCAAATGCTCCGATGCCTATTCCAATACCTGAGCTTCCGGTATCAGGAAGCCGGGCAGAAAGTCATTACACGCTGCCTGGCTTCCTGATTGGCTGGGAAGCCGGCTCCATGCTCCCTCGTCCGGTATCAGGAAGCCGGGCAGCGTGTAATGACTCGCCGCCTAGCTTCCCAATTGGTCGGGAAGCTGAACGGCGAGTCATTACCCACCCCCTGGCTTTTTGATTGGCCAGAAAGCTGGCTCCATGCTTCCTCGTCACCCGGTGACTTGTGACGAGGGAGCATGGAGGCAGCTTCCCGGCCAATCAGGATGCTGCCCGACTTCCTGATTGGTGGGGAAGCTGGCCAATCAGGAAGCTGGACGACGTGTAATGATGCGGCGCCCGGCTTTCTGATTGGCAGGGTAGCCGGCTTCATGCTCCCTCATCACTACATGACAAGGGAGCATGGAGCCGGCTTCCCGGCCAATCAGGAAGGCGGGTTCTGCATCATTACACGGCACCCGGCTTCCCGATTGGCCAGAAAGCCGACACCATGCTTTCTCGTCACCTAGTGACAAGAAGCATGGGGACAGTTTCCCTGCTTATTGGGCAGCTGGGTGGCGAGTCTTTACACGCCGCCTGGCTTCCTTAACGGGACTTCCGCTATCAGCGAGTACTGAAAAAAAAATATCGGTACTCGTAACCGAAAAAACGGTATCGGTGCATCCCTACATACGAGGGACAAGCATGCAAATAAAGATGTCAGACTTTAAAGATATGCACACTTGTTCTAGATCAGTTACTAAAACCTTATAGAACCCAATTGATCCGTGTACTAGACACACAGCTAACATCTTTAGAAGGGCAGCATTGGTAATGGCAGCTCCGGTGTCCCTCCAGAAAGACGTAAATCAAACACCACAGCACCCCCTTGTGTTAGTTCTACTAACTGCAGGAATAATAAACCACATTTTTGCAGCAGCTTTATATGCCAAATAAGCTTATCTTACCTTCCTGAGCTTCAACTGTGGCTGCAGGAAACACAAAAAAGAACAGAGTGTCAGATTAAGACCAAACTACACATAACGCTGAGCCTCATCCATCAAATAAAGAGGAGCTGAATAGAAAATCACCGGCACTCCCAAAGTTCAACGTGTGAATCTTTCACTCCTTATTGAACATACAGGCAGCTTCTATTTCATGACGTAATGATTGATTACAGGTATTTATACAGCGCCAACAGTTTACAAAGCACTTTACATATTATACATTCACACCAGACTCTGCCCTCAAGGAGCTTACAATCTAAGGTCCCTATCTCACATACATACAAGGCCGATTTAGACAGGAGCCAATTAACCTTCCAGCATGTCTTTCGAGTGCGGGAGGAGTGCCTGGAAGAAAGTCACACAAGCACAGGGAGACCCTGTAAACTCCTTGCAGATAGTGTCCTAGTTGGGATTGGAACCCAGGACCCCAGTGCAAGGGAGAAGTGCTAGCCCCTAAGACCTACATCAGAGTGCAAGAAAGAACCTGACGGGGGCTATCAAGCTTTTCTTAAAGGGGACACTTTGTAAAATAAAGATTATTATAACATGTAGCTATCCATAGAAAATAAATTGTGCCAAATTACTTACTAAGCTTTAAAGAGACGTCTACAGTGACTGTGCTGCGTTACGATAACTCTGCTCCATGTCCCATTGTGATTTAAAGTTGACCTTTTTATATATGCCTATATTCGTGGAGGTTGCATGCTCTCCCTGTGCTTCCATAGGTTTCCCCCAAATACATCCATACTCCAAAATACATACTAGTAGGGTAATGTGGTTAGTACTTCTGCCTTGCAGCACTGGGGGCCCCCAGTTCAAACCCAAGTCACTATATGCAAGGAGTTTGCGTGTTCTCCCTGTGCTTGTGTGGCTTTCTTCCAGGTACTCCTGTTTCCTCCCACACTCCAAAGACATGCTGGATGATTAATTGGCTCCTGTCTAAATAGGCCCTGTATGTATGCATGGCGTCATATTACAACGCACGTGTTGGGCACTGCCATCTTTGTGTATATCTAGGTATACACCAAGATGGTGGGGCCAATATCGGCGTTTGACGTCACCTGACGCCACGCATGCATGGCGTCATGTAACGTCATGCTCCCCGCCTCCAAGATGATGGCACGCATTCGTAGAACGCTCCGGTGGCCAACATGGCCGCCGCGCATTCTCAAACAAACTATTATGTGCCGGAATACATTTCTCGTATATTCGGACATATAGTAATTCATGAATTTTACATGTAGTCCGGGTTTTGTGTTCCGTTTTCTATTTTTACTTTTCTAGATGCACTTACTTGAAAAAAGGGATCGGCATGACAACCTGACACTTTATTTGTATAGACTCTATTTTAGTTTGACATTTATTGTTTACCTTCTGTTGTTTTATTTGATAAGACGACTTATATTGTGCCTACAAGTTTAATACCTTTGAATAAAAGTTTTATTTGTATCATACTTTTTAACATGTTTCTTTGCGGCTTAACAAAATAGGAGTCTTTGAATGGTGCGGATATTGGAGAAATGGGTGTGGTTACTGGGGGTGTGGCCACTGAGGGGTGTGGTCACTGAGGGGCGCTGTAAAGCTTTCTCGCACAGGGTGCCTAAAGGCCTAAGGCCGGCCCTGATAGGGACTTTAGATTGTAACCTCCTAGAGGGCAGGGACTGACGTGAATGTTCTCTATGTAAAGCTCTGCGTAAATTGTCAGCGCTATATAAATACCCCCAATAAATAAAACATTCGCTTATACTTATTCAACAATACAAGAATGATTCAAGTTCAGTATCCTGAAGAGGAGATCACTTTCTAGCAGTCATCTAGCTGTACATCATAATACCATTGAGGCGTGCGCATATTCAGTCCTGACCCAATGAGGTCTCTGATTTTAAGAAGGATAATTGGGGGGTTGGAGGCGGGGGAAATAGAATAGAAAAAACATGCTTAGCGAGGAGGGGACAAGAGTGAGAATAAGAATGGAAGTGGTTGATTAGGAGTTATTAAGGAGGTAGTGGGTAGGGAGGGGGGCAACTTGAGGAGGAATAGGCAAGTAAAAAAGACAAAAACTAAAACTAAAGAGGGGAAGGAGAAAGGGAACAATGTCCCACAGCCCAGAAGCCAACAAGCAAAGGGGGGCCGGGGAAGACCTGGACTGTCCAGAGCTATAGTTTTGTAGCATGAGATAGGGGTGACCAGAGAGAGAGCGGCAGTATGGAGTTTGCCAGAGGTCCATACAGTAGTAGAACCAATTTTTTTTTCTCATTTCTCTTCTCAGTTGTGGATAGAGGAAGCGAGATCCTCCATTTGCATAGTTTTATTGTTCTCAATTATATTCTCATTTATATTAAGTTACATCCCCCTGTAAAGATGCATTCACAGCGGAATCAGAGCCAAAACTCGAGTCATCAGAGGTGCGCTGACTTGAGTGTGCAGAGTCTGTTGACATCCCTTGCATTTCTTGGCTTGCGCTTTACACTAAGCTATAAAAAGGTATTGGTTCTGCCATGTGTTGACATGCATTAGCGGTTCACACCAGTCTGTTGCGTTGCAATGAAAAAAAAAAATAGTGCCTGCTCTTTTTTTGTTTCAGCGGAAGGCCACGCAACGCACTGATGTGAACTGCTCCCATTCATTCAGATGGCCTTTCATTGGCATCCTTTGAAAGAGGGATGCCAATAGATCTGGTGTGAATGGGACCTTAATGTATTTTCGGCTTGTTGGTGAGATGTGTCTGCGTTCCCAGGTCTGTATACCTGCCATGATCACTGCTCTATTTAATTTTAGGGAGGAGATAGGGCAGGCAGCAGCACCCAATGGAAATGAACAGAGCCAAAAACAATGGCAGGGAGTGCTTACAATTGAAGGACCTGCAAGATATAGGAAGCAAGCTGCTAATGCCACTCACAAGATTCCACCTATTGAAGTTGTGGATGGATTGACCCTTTAAATTAAATAGATGAGCAAATAGGAACCGTCTGTGATCTGTTTAATTTTTAGGTGAAAAGGTGATGTCCTCCACTCCCAATCCTTGCTCATTATGTCTAACAGGGTTACCCAACTCTCCCTGTTATAAATGTTAGGCCAATAAAAAGCAGGTAAAAGCATCTTGTGGCACGCTGTGATCCAGAAATGTACGTAAAAACATGTTGAACTGCCAAATCAAAAGGCACCACAATCACTGCACACCCTGGAGCAAAGAAAAGTCATTTAAAATGTATGTCCGGGGGAAACAAATAACAAATATTATGTATATCTCTGCAATACATGCATTTCTCCATGGTTTGCCTGGTTTCAAGTGCTGCAAGTACAGAGGAATAACTGTTGATCCTGCCAAAAATCTAGTCCTAACTTCCTGTAGTGAGCGGACAACTCTGCATCTGCTGCACTGAAATCCCAAGCAGTGTTGCCAGCCCTGCCTGAGGTACACCCCCACCCCCTTCTGTATCCCACCCTCTCTGTAACATAATGGGGGCGTGTTCTGTAGTTCAGAAGGGGAGAACTTGCCAATCAAGCTCTATGGTTGCTGACATGACCACTACTGCCTGATGTACTTTACTAATGGTCAGTCACTGTGACCCTATCACCCAACAGTAAGGCATATATATGCACTCACCAGCAAGTAGAGTTTGGCTGAAGATTGGATGAGAACATCCCAGATTATGGGGGTCTGGACCTGTCTGCTATTTATAATAAGTGACACTTTAGAAAATGTCTCCAACGACAGGTTCACTTTAAAGAACAGAAAAACTAATTTTTTTAGCTTGAAGACAGGGGCTGCACAATGCGACGCGCCAGAACATTCCACCGCCAGCAGCTCACTGCTCAGACTTGTATGATGAGCGAATGGGAACAAAGAGCCTCTGTGCAATTCTTCCATACAGAGTCATCACTACATTGTATGGAAAGAACCTGGAGAAAGACAATGTTGTCATCTAAAGAAAGGCTAAAGGCAAGTCTGATTCCTGACTCTGTGTTATGTCAGTGCTGCATGCGACTAGAAAATACACGAGTCACCCAACCAATCAAAAAGATATCACTGACACCTAGATACGAGCGGCTCCTGGATATATCAGGATACTGAACAGACCGCTGAGACATACTTCCTATGTTGTGTATGTGAATACCTGTATCTGGCATCTAGTACTGCTATGGTGCTCACAAACAAGGCAGTTACCTCATGCAGCTATTTTTACCATCAATGATGTCTATGGGGCATCCCACGCCTATACCTCCCTTCTCCACAAGTATTCCTACGTAGACCTGAATTTGAACCAGGAACTAGGAACGCTCACTCCTGCGGACTGACGTCCACCTTTCATGACTTGCTGCAGCTTCTAATCCACACTGTGAGAAGTTCACAGCGTGCAGTGAAATCAGAGGAAGCAATTTCAGTCCAGGAGAGGAGCCTGTACAACTGTGCAATGCTGAAGGGAAGATCCGGGTTGAGCTCTAATAATATAGGTTTGCCTGCACCCTCTGCTTATCTATGGGATAGCACATATGACTTCAGTTTATTTCTTACCGCTTTCCAGGGTCTGTCGTCCACCAGACAGGACCCCTTGGGGGAGTGCTCCTGTGGGTGTCAGTCCCTTCAGCGTCAGCACACTCTCACTTTCCTCCCTGTGGAACGGAAGGGTAAAGTCAGACTAGAGATGCCAATTGTTACACACACACGTATTATCAATCTGTTTTGAATGAGCAGTTGACCACATAGAATTATATTTGAATGTTTCCACCCTGACATTTTGGATCATTAAAAAATGTCACTGGGAATGGAAGAGATAGCGTGGCAAACCATAACCCTGACACTGCTGCCAACCAGCACAAGTGTTCCTATGGAAATAGGTTGCTAAGAAGTAAGCATAGTAAGTAATAATACAGTATGAGACCCCTTCATAAAAGGCAACATTACCCAACACTGACATTTGCTCTCCTGAATCTGCATTTTGGAAGGACATGACACCATCATTGATTCCGTACTGACCATGTTACCAGGTTTGCAGAGGATTAGAAAACAGCACCATGAGGTTCAATTTAGACAACGCGGAACGTTCTTAGAATCTTGTAACTTCTAAACTTTGTCTGGACCAGAGGAACCTTGTGGAGCTATCTTTTCTAATGATCTAAAGACAATATTCGAAGAAACCTCTAAACCAGCTATTTTCAACTAGGTTTCTAGGAGTTCCTTGAGCTGTGGCTGATTGATCTCCCATCTGATGGTGTCTTGGAAGAGTCAGCAGCATGACATGATCTGTTAAGCTGTCTGTAAGGCTGGTATTCTGACTACCACTGCAAGGAGGGTATTCTTCTTTCTGACCAACAATGTAAGGCATTCTTCCCATGGGCATCTGATGATGTTTAGCAAGGGTTCCCTTAGACCTTAACCTTTTTTTTTTCCCCAGAAGAACCCTCAAAATAATTTTGAGGATGCAGGAGGGGCAGCGGAGCCAGGGAAGCAAGACGGGGGTGTCAGGTGGGGGGGTATATATACACACACACACACATACACACACACACATGCGTGTTTGTGATGTTTGTACGCACACCCTAATGCAATAGGCTGCACACGCCTATGAAGTTTACCTTTTGGACCATGTTTCGTGTTACACCCATATTCAGGGTGTAACATGAAACAAAGTCACACTGCAACCCCCTGGCCCGCCCACTTACCTGAAAGGTGGGATTCTTCTCCCTGAAGGCGGCTGTTTTCTTTTTCAAGTCTTAAAACTTTAGATTTTTATTAAATTATAAAATATCTGCAATACAACAATGTTGACTACATTCAAAAAATTAGATACAGGTTTGGTATGTTAGCACATATAGGACTTATACCACATCATCTACTAAACCTTAGAATTTTTCCACCTTGGGATCGAGAATGTTAAAATCGGATGTAGCGGCAATGAAACCTCCCTATGTGAATCCCACAGTGAAAGTATCCATGTCAATCAACATTTCCAACATAAGAATTTTCTTTTTCAAGTCTGACCTGGCTGTGTGTGGACCTGTGAATGTTGAATCTAAAAGTCCCATCAGCCTCCGGGGCAGAGAGACAAGTGCGGTGACGTCACTGCACTTGTAGTCCATTCATTCTTCCTCTCACCTATGTCACTGAGGTACAGACATGGGCAGAAGGAAGACACTGCAGGAGCCAGAGCATTGCACCTGCTATCCACTGATTGTAGTTGCAATGCTTTGCTGGTTCCAATGCACAAAAATAATAAAAGCACTTTTGGGCATTTCGTTGGGCAAATCGCATCGGTTCAAAATGCATTTCAACTGACCTTTTTCTGACCTGCATTTGTCCTGCTGCAAGTGGGTTTTGCATTCTCATACACTTGTACGGGGACAGGAGCAGTTCTGAAGCCCGCAGACACAGGCCGTTACTCGTGTAATGAGAATCTTTGACTTTGCAATCTCAGCAAACTGAAATCAGGTTAGTCAATACAGGTCAATGTACTTTTGCAATGATTCTGAATCCATACACATTTTATTACATCAGGTTATATGTGCGAGAAAACAAAGTCTTTCAGCAGCAATGGTATGCTACATACGGGCTGATCAGGAGATGATTCCTGCACGGCAGTACGGAACGGATGTCACAGCTGTGTCACCTGGCCGGAGTTGGGGGTAACCGAGTGTAAACGGACGCTCATCCATTTACACATGACTACCAATAGACTTGCATTGGGCATCCGATCGTGTCCACCTGTCAGTTTTTCAGGCGGACCCGATCGGATGCCAGTCGTGTGAAAGGGGCCTTACCATCACATGACTTTAATACGGCCTTTTGTGCAAAGGCTATTTGTATTCATCAATCTTGCATATTCTGCCCAAAAGGCACAGCTTTTGGCGTTCAGTGTTCTATTTGATATGATAAGTGAAGAGCTCACAGAGGTCAGAGGATACAGAACAGCTACATCACCTGAGCACAGAGAACACTCTGGCCATCTTCCCAATCGCTCGGATCTTATTCCGTATAATCTCTTTACGTACAGAGGCGCCACCTAGAGGAGATCATAGAACAATAATCTGATGAGTGGAGAAACCAATAGGTCAATGTGAGACAAGGTGCATTAAACTTTGGCTTATTGGTGTTGTTCCTTCTTTAAGAACAACCCCCCTCCCCCATTGCCACCCTATGTGACATTCTTTGGCCCACTAAGGGATTTCATCTAGGTCAGGGGTGCCCATTAGGTCGATCGCAAGGCAAATACTGGTAGATCGCGATCCGCTCACTGACCAGAGCTCCCTCCCGCTAGTGCGGCTGAATGTGTCAGATGTCGCAGACGGGAAGGGGCGGGACAACTCTCTCTGTGTGTGCAACGTCGGCCACACGAGCACAGCGGGAGGACAGGTGCCGGCGCACGAGAGGAGACCTGGGAAGCTGCTGCAGTGGAGGTAAGAAAAGACAGACAGGAGAGAGAAGAGACAGCAGAGAAAGTGAGCGGAGAGACAGCAGAGAAAGTGAGCGGAGAGACAGCAGAGAAAGTGAGAGGAGAGACAGCAGAGAAAGTGAGAGGAGAGACAGCAGAGAAAGTGAGAGAAGAGACAGCAGAGAAAGTGAGAGAAGAGACAGCAGAGAGAGAGAGAAGAGACAGCAGATGGAAAAAGGGGAAAGAGAGCATGAGGAAAGAAAGAAGAGAGAGAGGGGATGTGGTGGTGCATTGAAGTCAATGGCACCGCAGCCACGTCTCCAGTGCGATCGCCCGCACCTGAGACGCAGGAACATTAGTGTCTGCGTTCCAGTCCAGTGCGATCTGCAAAAATAGTGCTCGCAGCATTTTTGCAGTTCGCACTGGACCGGAACGCAGGCACTAATGTGCCTGCGTTCCGGGTGTGGGCAAGCGCACTGTGGGCAGGGGGGCGTGGCTGTGGTGCCATTGAATGCAGGTGTTTTTTCGTTGGTAGATCTCATTGAGCTCGTCATTTGAAAAGTAGATCTCCAGATGAAAGATTGTGGGCGCCCCTGATCTAGAGATAATATGATCAATCTGCTTGTGTGATCACCGGAAACCCATCTTTATACAGAGCTGCCACACACCTGCTAAAATTTAACACCAGGCTTGCAGTGCTAGTGCCTGCTCTTTAAGCGGATGTATGGGAGAGTTGTGTACTCTGGCAAACTAACTGAAGGAAGGAAGCATTACGACTATGGTGGTGCTCTTAATGCCAAAATGAGCATCACCAAAAGCCACAGAATACCCGAGTATTGTTACTGACCCCATACATTCCTCTACGGGATCTCGGGAGGATAAGTAAAGAGTATTTTATCATCACGTATGACATTCATTCAGCTGCCAGTCTGGAGCTGTGAAAATGGTGAGAAATATGCCTGCAGATTCCGAGCGGCACAATCTGCCATCTGTAAGATGATGCTTTATAATATTACAGGCGATGTAAACTACATGCAGAGTAGTTACAGTCAGGATGAAAATCTACACAAATCCATCAGGTTCAACCAATGGAAAAAAAAAAAGCATACATGCATTGAAAACCTCCATACACACACACAGGACTCTATAAACACAGTAGATCCAGAGGAAGGCAAGCATAAAGCTTGGTCCAATTTGCTCCAACGGAGGAAAATAAATTCCTTCCTTATTCCCTAAGGCGGGGGTGGGCAACTCCGGCCCTCCAGCTGTGCTTTAACTACAAATCCCAACATTCCTCTGCCTCTGGGTGTCATGCCTGTAACTGTAAGTCTTGCAAAGCCTTGTGGGACTTGTAGTTCTACAAAGGCTGGAGGGCCGGAGTTGTCCACCTCTGGGCAAGGTAATCAGGTAGCAGAAGAAGCACAGCAAGAGATGCAATGTAATAAGGAAATGAGAACAATAGAGAAAACAGGTTCTGTATTTGTCTTACTTTCCAGCGGGTCCTCTCCTTCTGTGATCAGTTCATCATCCGAGCAGATACTGAGAATATTCACCAGCATCTCAGTGACTGGAAGACAACAATGTACAATTACCATCTCACATCACTTATCAGACCCCGAATATCTCATGCAATGACATCCCTAGATCTCTTAGGATCAAACTTAAGGGCAGGCGACACTTCCAGGAGTGTGCAGCAGGCCAGGCGACACTTCCAGGAGTGTGCAGCAGACCAGGCGACACTTCCAGCAGTGTGCAGCAGACCAGGCGACACTTCCAGCAGTGTGCAGCAGACCAGGCGACACTTCCAGCAGTGTGCAGCAGACCAGGCGACACTTCCAGCAGTGTGCAGCAGACCAGGCGACACTTACAGCAGTGTGCAGCAGGCCAGGCGACACTTACAGGAGTGTGCAGCAGGCCAGGCGACACTTCCAGGAGTGTGCAGCAGGCCAGGCGACACTTCCAGCAGTGTGCAGCAGACCAGGCGACACTTCCAGGAGTGTGCAGCAGGCCAGGCGACACTTCCAGGAGTGTGCAGCAGACCAGGCGACACTTCCAGGAGTGTGCAGCACGGCAGGCGACACTTCCAGGAGTGTGCAGCACGGCAGGCGACACTTCCAGGAGTGTGCAGCACGGCAGGCGACACTGTGCAGCAGGGCAGAGCAACAAGTGGTGGGACACACAAGTATGAACCTTTTCCTTTTTCAGGTCCTGATTTTTTAATATTTTTGTATCAAAGCGAGTCACTTTAAAGGGGAACAATGTTCACTTAGTCCCATGAAGCCAAATTTACTTCGATCGCGCAGTCATTGTACTCTCCATGTACAACATCGGGTGTCTGAAGTAAACAAAGGCTCACTGGACCGAGTGAACTTTATACTCATTTAATAAATCCCGTCCATTGTCTTCAAATATATATGGGTGTGTGCAGTTAGAGGAAGCTGCATGACAATACAATAATAACTACACGTAAAGGGAACCTTTTTATAGTCACCTGCCGATGTAACTCTTCATAATCTATTCTCATGCTAACAAAAGAGCTTTGTTCCTAGTATGAGCTTACATATACAGTACAGTGCGCCTCTATCTGTGTATATATACCGAGTGCATTGTCTTCATTACCTTTCTCCCCAACAAAGGGCAAAGACCAAGAGAACACATCCATGAAGTTTGGCAGCCAGTAAGGATGTGGAGAGCAATTAAATTGACGGATGTTCATCACGTTATTCTCATATTTGAGCACTGCGGCTGTGAGGAGAGAGGAGAGGAAAGAGATGATTTCACATACATTGCAGACGCCTACACAAACAAGAAGTGCTAGTAGCTGCTTCCAACATGCACAGTATTGGCTGCACAGACTTCAAACACACACGCACACGCATGCACACACGCACACACAGTGATGACTCTGACTCCAGCCACACAAAGACATACTGGTGCAATCACAATCACCCACCTATGTGTAACATACACATTGCCATCTTTTATCTATTACAAAGTACCAGCAAAGATCTGTCACAGAGACTGGAGCAGATGACAACTAGGGCTGTTGTCCATAGAATCCACATTATCAGTGTCATCTTCTAACAAGCGATGGACCATCAAACACAGGCCATACCCTCCGCTATTCATTAGGGCTGCAGCTAACGATTATTTTCATAATCGATTATGTCGATTAGTTGTTGCAGCCCTACTATTCATAAAATCAACCCAACAGTGCTCTTTAAACCTTTACACCAGATTCACACGCGACATGGGTTGTTGCTGCATTGCATTTTGAGCCGGAACGCCACGGCAAGGCACTTGTGTTTTAGTGTGCCGCAACGCAATGGAAGTTGCGCTACACAAAAAAAAAAGTGTCATGTGCGTCTTTAAAGAAGGACTCCAGGAAAATGCTTTATTAATCCTTGCAGTGGGGGTACCCCGGCATTGCAAGGGTTAAGTGCTTGTTTTTTGTCTAGGTTAAAAAATAACAAAGTTATACTCATTCGCACCTCCAAGCCAGCCGGCTGTCACAGCGCTCCCTCCAGCCCCTCTCCTCCTACGCTGCAGCATGGGCATGTTCCTCAGTATCTTCACATCTATACACGGTGTATAGCAGGGGTGCCCATTAGGTTGCTCGTGATCTTCCAGTCGATCGCAAAGCGAACACTGGTAAATCGCGATCAGCTTCCGGTTATAGCTGGTGGAAGTTTACATCTCTCTATTGGGTCCTGAGGCGGAGCCTTCTCTCCCCCCTCCTCCTTCTTCCCTCCCCTCTCACCTTTTCTCCTCCTCCCCCCTCCCCCCGAGCAGTTCACATACCATGATCTGGCCCATGGGTGTGTCTACATATGGTGCGGTAGATCCACTTTTTAGTGTGCTTAGGTCTTGTGTCTAGTCATGTATGTAATTTTGTTTGATTTCTTGTTTTAATGTTTTATTATGTATTATTATTTTGTACTGAATTTGTTTTGTGATGTGAATTGCAGAATTGACTTTTCTTGTGCTGTTTGTAGTCATGTGTCTTATAAAATAATAAAAGCTATACCTGTTAAAAAAAAAAAAATTGTGATCGGCTCACAGACCTAAACTCCCTCCCACGGTGCTCGTACGGCTGAATGTGTCAGATGCTGCAGACGGGAAGGGGCAGGGCACCTCTCCCCGTCTGCAGCGTCGGTCAAACGAGCACCGCGGGAGGACAGGACAGCGCACGTGAGAGGGGACCTGAGAAGCTGCTGCAGCGCAGGTAAGGAGAGACAGCAGAGAGAACAGAGATAGAAGAGACAGGAGAGAGAGAGAGAGAGAGAAGAGACAGGGGAGAGAGAGAGAGAGAGAGAAGAGACAGGGGAGAGAGAGAGAGAGAGAGAAGAGACAGGGGAGAGAGAGAGAGAGAGAGAAGAGACAGGGGAGAGAGAGAGAGAGAGAGAAGAGACAGGGGAGAGAGAGAGAGAGAGAGAAGAGACAGGGGAGAGAGAGAGAGAGAGAGAAGAGACAGGGGAGAGAGAGAGAGAGAGAGAAGAGACAGGGGAGAGAGAGAGAGAGAGAGAAGAGACAGGGGAGAGAGAGAGAGAGAGAGAAGAGACAGGGGAGAGAGAGAGAGAGAGAGAAGAGACAGGGGAGAGAGAGAGAGAGAGAGAAGAGACAGGGGAGAGAGAGAGAGAGAGAGAAGAGACAGGGGAGAGAGAGAGAGAGAGAGAAGAGACAGGGGAGAGAGAGAGAGAGAGAGAAGAGACAGGGGAGAGAGAGAGAGAGAGAGAAGAGACAGGGGAGAGAGAGAGAGAGAGAGAAGAGACAGGGGAGAGAGAGAGAGAGGCAGTAGTCCCAGTAACGATTTTAATGTGCTTGTTTTTTAAATAAAGGTGTTTTTAAAAAAAGCTCGTCATTTGAAAAGTAGATCTCCAGACGAAAAATTGTGGGCGCCCCTGGTGTATAGAATGTGATGATTTATGGGTCCTTAAACTCCTGCAGAGGAGGGGGAGAGGCTAAAACCGGACCGGTCTAAGAACAAGCCTGCTCGGAGCACTGGGTGAGTGTAACATTTTTCTTGACCCTAGACAAAAACCAGCAGGTAACCCTTGCAGTGTGGGGGTAAGCCTCACTGCAAGGGTTAATTAAAGTATTTACTGGAGTTCTTCTTTAAGCATGTTAGGGTGCACTGGTAGCCCCCCTCATTTTAAATAGGCTGTCTTAACACAACACATGACATGACGCTCATTAAAAGGAGAACTATGAGGTGAGTGCTTTTCACTCGCCTCATAGTTCTAGCCGACCTGTGACAATGAGACTGTCACAGGTCGGCTCAGTAGATCGGGAGGTGAGCGAACACATACCGGCGTTCGCTCACCTCTCGATCCTGTCACGGCTCTCTGCCGTGACAGGGAAGGGGCTGGATTCCCCTCTCCCCGCTCCGCCAGCGCTGGCTGGCGTAACGGACGGGGCGGGCACAGCTGGCTCTGCCTCTAGATAGGCAGAGCCAGCTGTCAGTCACGCAGCTGGGCGGATCCAGACATAATTGTCAGGATCCGCTTCAGCTGCGGCGTCTCAGTATACCGCGAGCTGCAGCTTAGGGTGAGCTTAGGGTGACAGGACGCTAGTTTGTGTCCTCCTGTTACCCTAAGGAGAACTATGGGGAAAAGCCTTAACCCCATAGTTCTCCTTTAAAAGTAGTAAATGGACAACTGTGGTAAAATTGTGGCTCTGTTAAATATAAGTGTATCTCTAGGCAAAATTGTTTTTTTTTTAGTTTTAAATAGCATAAGGAATCGTTAGATCCTCTGTCAGGTTTTTATTGATGTTTGTGTCTCTTCTGGGGAGATCACCTTCTCTATTACTTCTGGTTCACACTGTCGCTTTAACAGGGAATCTAAATTTTACAGTGGTCTCTGAATCAGGAGGTCAGGGAGGACCTCTTCCAGCAACAAATGTCTATAGGATGTTGACCCTAAATATAGAGATATTTCCTTTTACTTCCTGTAGTGTCTCTGGGACAGGAAGTGAAAGGAAACATCTCCAATAAGACACTGATAACAAGAAACTTGATGGGGTTATTCACCATTCATATCTTTTATTCAGAATTAAAAAAAAAAAGTTTTGCTTCAAGCTATAGGTGAGTAAAGCACAGGTTCACTTTATGATCCACTGATAGTGACCGAGCTCCTGAGTTCAATCCCCTCTTATTATTTTTGATGGGTTAATGTATTCACACATCAAGTGAATCCAGTGTTGTCTATTGTAGTCTGCAGCTGTACCCCAGAAGTCCCGCGCCGACATCGAACCCGTCTCTCCTGGGTTCTGCAGCCGGCCTCCTGATGACACACGTGGCTAATGTGTAATTTTTGTAGGTTGCCCTGAAGCCTCCTGGGAAACTCACATCACACATCCCAGGAGGCTTCAGGGCAACCTACAAAAATTACACATTAGCCACGTGTATGTCATCAGGAGGCCGGCTGCAGAACCCAGGAGAGATGGGCAGCTAAATCGTTCTACCTAGACAAGAAAGGAAAGGTGGAAGAACATGTAGGGGAACCCTACAAAATGTATTTAGAGTAAAACAACAAAAAAATGTGGTTTACGAGGAGTTAACATGTGCTCTAGGGGAAAGTGGAGAATGAAGGTGACGGTCCCCTTTAACTTAACATCGTGTGTACTTGCTGTAAAATGAGCACATGACCATGCACGTGTATCAGCACATGCCACAGCGGCCTGTACTGTTAACCTTGAGAATGGAACTGTTGATTTGTGATGAACAGACTGTCACTAGCAAATATAGTCACAATGAAGGTTGCTTTGAGATGAACACACTGACTCCATGCTGGAGATTGCGTGTCCCTTCCTCCCCAACACAGACAAGTGCTGGTCTGAAGGGGGAAAAAAAACGTCTGATTAGAATTACTCTGCTGACAGAGACACTGAATACCCCAATCATGAAAAAGTTACCCACGAAAGTGAACTAAATTTATTCTAAATGAGTTTTCTGGATAGGTAAGTCAGAGACCTTCTCAATGGTTTTGGCATTAAACACCTTTGAGGAGAAACGACTATTAGAATGGCCTGAATCAGGATGATTTACATGCAAAATTCTGCCAGAAAATGACACTCAACGTTGTATGGAGATGGACTGTGACAGAATTGCAGCGTGGTGCCTGATGAGAGCGTAACAGAACCAGGGACGTGCGGTCAGGGGAGGCAGGTGAGACGAAGCCTCACCTAGTATTATGGAGGAAATAGCTGTCAGCTTCAAGTCTGAAGCTGACAGCTTTTTCTCCATTCAGATCGGCATGTTACAGGTTACACAGCAGGGAAATCCTCCCCGCTGTGTAACCTGTCAGGGAAATCCTCCCCGCTGTGTAACCTGTCAGGGAAATCCTCCCCACTGTGTAACCTGTCAGGGAAATCCTCCCCACTGTGTAACCTGTCATGGAAATCCTCCCCGCTGTGTAACCTGTCATGGACGGAGCGCTGCTTGCTAATTACAGGCAGCGCTGCATCCGGCTTTTGACAGGTAGTTAGGTTACACGGCAGCGGGCTTCCCCACTGCTTGTGTTACCTAACTTGGTGAGGCAAGAGCTGTCACAGCCTCTACTCGGTGTTAGAGGCGCGAGCTCTGTGGATGGCTGGAATCAATGGCAAAGCGCAATTGGTCCAAGCAGTCCAATCAAAAAAAGAAAGAAAAACCCACTGAGGCCATCGATCTCGATGCCTCAGCAGTGACGAGCAAGTGAGGGGCAGGGAGGCTCCTCCCTGTCTCCTGCACACTAGTTAGGGGAGCGGGTTGGGGGGCAGGGCTTCGGCAGGCGGGGATTCATTGGGCGGGGGGATGGTATAGCTAGTACTAGTTGGTCACATTCATCTGTCTCCAAGCCACTTCAGCTCCAATGAGTGTCAGGAACATACCCCAACATTTGTATTCACATAGGTAGCACCGACACCGATCACCATGGAATATTTAGATGTTGATTGTCCAAGAACAGGATGGAAGGTCTGAACGTTGTGGAGCCATCATGTTCTAATTACATAATCCCATCCTTGGTTTCAGTAAATCTCCGTAAGTGGTAATTTCACGATTTACATGGCTGAAGGTGAGAATTGTCAAGTCGTCGGGGTAGAGATGTTAAAATGGCATTATATGTGTGGTGTGGAAGGCCCACCCATTTAGGGATGGTTCTGGACAGTGGGGACAACTGGTTCACAAGAGGCATTAAAAAGGCCATCAGTCAAACTGAGACAACCCTCCCTGTTAATAATTCGATTCATATGGCCCAAAGTGTGAATAGTTTTCAAATCGCTGGGGTAGAGATGTTACGATGGTATTATAAGTGGAAGACAGAGGGTATCAAAGGCCCCTACCACTGTTCAGGGATGGTTGTTACAGTTTGGGGACCAGTTGTTCTCTCTGTTCAAAATGTGCACCTCCCTGTCCTCGAAAGGATGTCCCCTTTCCTTAAAGGAGAACTATGAGATGAGTGATTTCCACTCACCTCATAGTTCTAGCCGACCTGTGACAATGAGACTGTCACAGGTCGGCTCAGTAGATCGGGAGGTGAGCAAACACATACCGGCGTTCTCTCACCTCTCGATCCTGTCACGGCTCTCTGCCATGACAGGGGAGGGGCTGGATTCCCCCCTCCCCGCTCCAATCCGCCAGCGCTGACTGGCGGAACAGACAGGGGAGGGGGCGGGTACAGCTGGCTCTGCCTCTAGATAGGCCGAGCCAGCTGTCACTCACGCAGCTGGGCGGATCCAGACATCGATGACGGGATCCGCTCCGGCTGCGGCTCAGTATACCGCGAGCTGTAGCTCGCGGTATACTGAGCTTAGGGTAACGGGAGGACGCTAGTTTGCGTCCTCACATTACCCTAAGGAGAACTATGCGGAAAAACACTGACCCCATAGTTCTACTTTAAGGTGTAGAAAAACTGCAGAGACCTGTAGAATCTGCCCTCCTATGCTGGACCATTCATTTCTCGAGATGTTGTTCTCTCTCCCCAGATGTACAGGTCTTTGCAATTCGCTTGCGATTGGCTGTTAAGTCTTTTGGATGTATAAACTTATATCGCAGTGTATTACTGGGTTTGAAGGACACAGGGATTAGGGTGCTTTTGCTGCTTTCGTGGATATAAACGCTGGGCTATCTCCCGGACACTCGCTGGAACTGAAGTGGTGGCTTAGAGAAGCTACAATACATCTTCAACATTACAGGACAAGTCCAGGTGATTGTGACCACCTACTACGTATAGTGGAATAAGGTTATATGATGCATCCTGCAAGCAGGGTTTCTTTGTCTCTGCAGAGTGTGCATACGTTTATTAGCACAGTTTCCAGGCGGTGTATTGTCCTCTTCCTGTACAGAGTGTAACAGAATCATATTCTGGACCTATCCACTGGTCAGGCAATATAGAAGTTGCAATGTTCTGTGCCTTTATAGACTGCAATATGGTAATATTATCATACACAGGTCAGGCTGTGCAGCTGCAATACCCTACAAATGACATAAGAATAACAGAATAGATCTTTAGACGGGGAATCTCCTACCATCAAAGATCAGGGAGGGACACTTGTAGCCTCTCATCGAGACAGTGACGGAATACTGTTTTAAATACAGGTGTTGACCGCTCAGCAGTTTTTCACACAAAGCGTACAGGCAGTGAGAACCCTGTGTCTTGTGTACAAAGTTTGAGCAATTACCATAAAACTGACAACATGCAAAGATCACTCAGTGCTCATATTGTCTCTCATACATACAATATATCTCAGACAATGGCTCTTCTGTCCAGGCAGTCTGCTATATACAAAGTACAAACAGTCACAGCCTGGGGTGAGAAAATCTGCCTGGGCTCAGTGGTTTTGCAAATCTTGCTTGAAGAGCTCTGCGGTGAACACTTTTGGGGGTATTTAATAGGGATTTGTATTGCTAATAAGCAAGCTATCATCAAACACTCGGCATGGGAAATCAGGCACTGCCAAGGGTAGCATGTACCGATGGCTTAAAAAATAAAAAGAAGAAAGTGTCTCTTTCTAGTTTCAACACACACTGACAATATGGCTGCCGTACCTTGGCTCTTGTGACCCATCTGAACAAGGGGAAAGGCTATGCACTACATTATTACAGGTTGTTCCTTATTTCTGGCAGTGAACCTGCAAATTGTCAGCGAACGTTGTGAATCCTGGAGGTTCGCTGCGACCCTTGAGTGACAGAACAGATACACAGCGCAGTACATACACATTGATACTTGCCGTACTGGACACTCTGCCACCTCACTCAAATCAATGGCTTTAAAAAATTGTCTCCACATACAGTAAGAAGTGAAGAAAATATCCCGACCATCAGTGATGGTATGTATGGTATAGGGCAGGGGTTACCTGAGCTCCCTCCCGTGGAGAGAGAGAAAGAGAAAGAGAAAGAGAAAGAGAAAGAGAAAGAGAAAGAGAAAGAGAGAAAGAGAGAAAGAGAGAAAGAGAGAAAGAGAGAAAGAGAGAAAGAGAGAAAGAGAGAAAGAAAGAGAGAAAGAGAGAAAGAGAGAGAGAGGTCCCAGTAACGATTTTAATGTGCTCGTTTTTTAAATAAAGGTGCTTTTTCGTTGGTGGATCTCATTGAGCTCGTCATTTGAAAAGTAGATCTCCAGATGAAAAATTGTTGGCACCCCTGGTATAGGGAGTAATGAACTTCCCCAAAGCAACATGTTTTGACTGACTACTGGAGCAGAATCATTAGCCAGGCAGGAAAGAGTGGTCACCCTGTACAGTCCATTAGTTTGGAGCGTTCTGTTCTTATTTTATAAAATGTTGGAAGTCCCCTTTAACTAAAAGACGCACACAAGCCAGAGATCCCTCTAACCTTTGTTGTTGTATACATCAAGGTAATTCGGTGCAGAGAAAATGGTGATGAGAGATGGGAAACCAGTCGTCTGGCTCTTTCGGTACATCCGGTAGCTGCAAATTGAAAGAGAAGCATGATGTGTGGTGTATAACGGGCATCGCCATGTGACTCAGCATCACTGTCCACCTTCTACGGCAAACACTTACTGACGCTTTTTTAATCCAACAAAAGAATGTACACATTTCTTCATAAGTATTGCCAGGCTCTGCAAGCTGCACCTCTTATCTGCCCTCCCCTCCCTATTTATTTAACATCACCCAGAGAGGAAACCACAGTATGACGTGACCGCATATTTTTTTTCTGCCAGATAACAATGGGAAGAGAAAGGCATTACCCAGCATCCTGTGCTTCATGGGCCCGGATCACTGACAGGAGATTGTTGTTCTGCAGGAATTCACAGACAGCGGGGTAGCTATAAAAACACAGGCGTCATATTAATTAATGATTATAGGAATGAGCTGTAAAATACAACAGAAAGCTATGGTATGTAGTACATGCCGAGTACAGGACAATTACCTGTAGAAATAGGAGCAGCCGCGCACTGTGTTGTGGGTAAAGTGCTCCAGTGTCTTCTCATTGCCATAATCCTCGGCAGGGTCGGACCATAGCAGGTCACACATGGGGCCGAAAGCGGGCGGCTCCTTGAATCTGTCTAACTGATGAGGTGGAGAGAAGGAGAAAGCAGAATTAAGGTAGTAAGGGCAAAATACCAGTCCCATTGTCCCCTGTGCCAAGGCATGCCCCAACTCCCTTTCCCAGAATTCTTCCCACCAGTCAGTGCTTGGCACAAAATGATCAGCCAAGTAGCGGCTGCATCCTATCAGGCAGCCGTGGGCACCAGCTGTCTGAATAATATCGCTGGCAATGGAGATTCCCCCATCTACACTGTTTAGTTTGGATGCGTAAATCTATTAATTTTCTCTCATCCAGCTCATGGACTGAATGAGAGAAATCTAAACATCTACGGCGAGCCTCACTCTCAACGCTGGATTCTATACTTATTTCACAAAGAATACAGCAGGAGAAGTGAGACTTGCCTGCCTTCCAGGAACTCTGGATCCCCATGAGCTCATATACAGGGAACTGGTCCTTACCTTGCCACTGATTATGTAGGGGCATCTCCGTGGTATGTTTGTATGTAATCATTCAAAGCTGTGTGCAAGCAATCTTGTACATGCAAGAGTAATCCTGAATATTAGCTTTAAATGATTGTTCACATAGGAATAGACAAGGATGGCCATAAATCCGCAGCGTTACCCAGAATAAGGTGGGACTCACTTTCCTGATGTCGTCCAGGCAGGTGATTTCCGGGGAGAGACCCCCGTGCACACACAGGAACTGCTGGTTAAGCAGAGCTGCCAGAGGGAGGCAGTCAAAGGCATCCATGCAGGAGTCGTACACTCGCTCCGAGTACTTAATCTTACCTGCAGGAAGGAGACGGGACGGTTAGAAAAATATAGACATACATTAGATATATATTGAAAAGTATCACGAGAGCACTCATCTCCCGGTTTTGGTTCTACAGCGACTTAGTGGTTAGCACTTCTGCTTTGCAGTACTGGGGGTCCCCGGTTCAAATCCCGGTCAGGACGCTATGTGCAAGGAGTTTGCATGTTCTCCCTGTGCTTGTGTGGGTTCCCTCTGGGTACTCCGGCTTCCACCCACACTCCAAATGGCTCCTGTCTAAATGGTGTGTGTGTGAGAGATAGGGACCTTATATTGTAAGCTCCTTGAGGGTAGGGACTGATGTAAATGTGCACTATGTTAAGCACGGTGTAAACTGTCAGCGCTATATACAATACCTGTAATAAATAATAATAATCTCCCAGGGCACAAGAAAACAGATTTTCATCCTGAACTCCCTGCATGCAAAAATCCGTGAAACGTTCTTTGCTCTTATGTTGCTTAAAGGAGAACTATGGGGTTAAGGCTTTTCCCCATAGTTCTCCTTAGGGTAACGGGAAGACACAAACTAGCGTCCTCCCGTCACCCTAGGCTCAGTATACCTCGAGCTACAGCCCTCTATATACTGAGACGCTGCAGTATACCGCGAGCTACTGCTCGCTGTATACTGAGGCGCCGCAGCTGAAGCGGATCCCGACAATTGTGCCGGGATCCGCCCAGCTGCGTGACTGACAGCTGGCTTGGCCTATCTAGAGGCAGAGCAAGCTGTACCGGCCCCCTCCCCATTCCGCCAGTCAGCGCTGGAGGATCGGAGCGGGGAGGGGGGAATCCAGCCCCTCCCCTGTCATGGCTCGAGAGGTGAGCGAACGCCGGTATGCGTTCGCTCACCTCCCGATCTACTGAGCCGACCTGTGACAGTCTCATTGTCACAGGTCGGCTAGAACTATGAGGTGAGTGAAAAGCACTCACCTCATAGTTCTCCTTTAAATTAATTTTACATAGCAAAATAGATTTTGGGTACACATTGGTCCCCTACCTCTAGATGGGTGAAGGTTAGCACACTGTAGGAGTTATCTGCTAAACAGACACACAAGATTAGGCTTTGAAACTACAATATAAGCGCTTATTGACCCATGAATGGTCATAAGGTACACCACATATGTTGCTCCATTGCAGAAGCCACTACAGTAGAAGAACATACCTATATGGGTTGGACTTGATGGACGTATGTCTTTATTCAACCCCAAATACTATGTAACTATGTAACATTGCTCAGCAAATATACAATTTCTGGCAGCACTGTACAAAAATGTGGCTGGCCGATATAAGCAATACAGACACCGGCCTAAAGCGTGCAAAGACAAGATGGACACACAAAGTCTGATTTATATCAAAAATTTAAAAGCAGAACTATGGGGTCAGGGCTTTTCCCCATAGCTCTCCTAAGCGTCATGGGAGGACATAAACTAGCGTCCTCCCGTGACCCAAAGCTAAGTATATTGCGAGCTACAGCTTGCGGTATACTGAGACCGCTGCAGCCGGGTCGGATCCCAACATTATTGTCGAGATCCACCCAGCTGCGTGATTGATAGCTGGCTCTGCCTATCTAGAGGCAGAGCCAGCTGTACCCGCCCCTCCCCCGCCAGTCAGCACTGGAGGATCGGAGCAGGGAGGGGGGAAACCCTGCAGGGAGCCGTGAGTGACATTCATGGGTCTCTGCAGGGAGATGATCGAGAAGTGAGCGAGCAACGGTATGTGTTCCCTCACTTCCCGATCTATTGAGCCGACGTGTGACAGTCTCATTGTCACAGGTCGGCTAGAACTATGAGGCTGAGTGAAAATCACTCACCTCATAGTTCTCCTTTAAATATAGTTTTTTTTTCTGCCCCCTCCCCCCCCATAGGAAGTGGGTTGACGGACACTGACTGTCATTCAACCCGGAGGAGCGGCGACATCTAGTGGAGTTGCAGACTGTCAGGGTCAGCATCAGACTGAAGGCAAGTATTAAAGAAGAATCAGGAGAGTTCAATACACTCATCATCCCTATAGTTAGAGCCAACGTTTGACACGGCAGCTGTGACACGTCGGCTCAACAGATCGAGGACTGTGCGATCACAAACTGCTGATCACTCAGCTCACCATCTTCTCCCTGCAGAGAGGGGTGACTGTCAGCCATCGCTCCACACAGGGTTCCCCCCTCCCCTCTTTGTTCCTCCAGCACTGTCAGCATATAGCAGGCAATAGCCTGCTATATGCTGAGTTTTGGGTCACAAGAGGACATTAGTAAATGTGACCCTAAAAGAGAACTAAGGCCAAAAAAAAGGTTCGGCCATAGTTCTCTTTTTAAAGTAAAGGCTGTTTTATTTTTTGGGGGGAGGGAGGAATTGTTTTTTTTTCATATTGAATGCTGTAGTTCTGCTTCAAGTCTAAGCTTTGTACATCAATACCACTGCTGTGTGCTCCTGGCTGTATAAAACAACCTTACTACTGCCCTGGGGCTGAAACTAGGGCCTCTCATATGAACACAGCAACTGACCAGCTTTCACCCTCTAGGCTTCACGAAAGGGAGAATTTGGTTGGGTAAGCTGGGCAGCACCATTGGTTCTTATTGACGACATCTTCGTGGCACACAGAGAATAACGTGGACCGAAAACAAACAGCCAGCTCCAGAGAACACATCACAACAGCGGCGTGGTCAGAAACCGCATGCAAGGCAAGCGGGGACCACCAACACAAGGCTGGCATTGAGCTCATCCCGGATACGCCAGCAGTCTTTTTTTATATGTAAGATTAACCACCCGCAGTTTATGCTTCATGGTGGTTTTCCTGCTATGCGAGCTTTGCCTGGGGCAGTGGCAAAGGAATGAAGCCAGAGGAAGTCAGGCAGCTAGCATATTCAGATGGAGCTCAGCAATGGCTGCCCTTTTTTTTTTTCTTAGTACAGGTTTCCTCTAATAGAAATACAACTTTTAAATAGGCTGTGAGCATAAATCTTTAATCCCCATACTTCAATATTTCATAGAGCCATTTTTAGAAGCAATAAGAGCTTTGCGAGTATGCAGCAGATTTGCACAGTGTTCAAAGACGGTTTCCCTCCATTCCTTCAAACAGGTTTACCGCAGGCTATATGGGCTAGTCAGATGATGCTTGTGCACCACAATGCTCTACTTGATGAAGACTTTGGTTGGGGCACTGTAGGATATGCATCTTTTTTCCCCCTTTACTCTAGTGTTACCATGGCCTTATGGTCAGGACAGAAAAGCAAACGAATATGTCTTCCAGCAATAATTCCTGGCATTTTAACACATCCAACACATGGACACTTTTACTGGCTGTCCAGTTGCAGAGTCCTTTCAAGATCCAGAAGGATTAACATCAGATCAAGGGGACTGTCAGGGACCAACCAGAGCTGGCACATGTCATTAATTGGAACTCAAAGAAGTGACCAGGAATCAAGGATGTGTACTCTGGTTACACTTGCAGGGCCCGCCCCCCCAGAGCTGGAGTTCTAGCAGAGACAGGAGCTGTGGAACTGAATGAGGCAGTGGAAGTCAGGCTCAGCTGGAAGCTCACGAACTAGGCAGAGAGCCGCAATGCTTAGTAGGTAGCATGGGATCCACAGGGCGCGTGGTGTAAGGACCAGCCGGTCTTCCCCAGAGCTCCTGAAGATGGAGATGTTACGCTGCGTGCTGACCCCAGGTCACAGCCCCTAGGTTCACTCAACTCAGCTAACAGCCGAGGATGGTTGACAAAGCCAGAGCTCCGGACAGGCTGCAGACACATAACGGGAGACAAAACAGAGGTCAGGGGCAGGCTGAAGACTAGGATTTCCAGGAACAAGCCGAAGGTTAGGAGCAGACTGAAGACTAGGATATTTAGGAGCAAGCCGAAGGTCAGGGCAGGCTGAAGACAAGGATTTCCAGGAACAAGCCGAAGGTCAGGGCAGGCTGAAGACTAGCATTTCCAGGAACAAGCCGAAGGTCAGGGCAGGCTGAAGACTAGCATTTCCAGGAACAAGCCGAAGGTCAGGGCAGGCTGAAGACTAGCATTTCCAGGAACAAGCCGAAGGTCAGGGCAGGCTGAAGACTAGCATTTCCAGGAACAAGCCGAAGGTCAGGGCAGGCTGAAGACTAGCATTTCCAGGAACAAGCCGAAGGTCAGGGCAGGCTGAAGACTAGCATTTCCAGGAACAAGCCGAAGGTCAGGGCAGGCTGAAGACTAGCATTTCCAGGAACAAGCCGAAGGTCAGGGCAGGCTGAAGACTAGCATTTCCAGGAACAAGCCGAAGGTCAGGGCAGGCTGAAGACTAGCATTTCCAGGAACAAGCCGAAGGTCAGGGCAGGCTGAAGACTAGCATTTCCAGGAACAAGCCGAAGGTCAGGGCAGGCTGAAGACTAGCATTTCCAGGAACAAGCCGAAGGTCAGGGCAGGCTGAAGACTAGCATTTCCAGGAACAAGCCGAAGGTCAGGGCAGGCTGAAGACTAGCATTTCCAGGAACAAGCCGAAGGTCAGGGCAGGCTGAAGACTAGCATTTCCAGGAACAAGCCGAAGGTCAGGGCAGGCTGAAGACTAGCATTTCCAGGAACAAGCCGAAGGTCAGGGCAGGCTGAAGACTAGCATTTCCAGGAACAAGCCGAAGGTCAGGGCAGGCTGAAGACTAGCATTTCCAGGAACAAGCCGAAGGTCAGGGCAGGCTGAAGACTAGCATTTCCAGGAACAAGCCGAAGGTCAGGGCAGGCTGAAGACTAGCATTTCCAGGAACAAGCCGAAGGTCAGGGCAGGCTGAAGACTAGCATTTCCAGGAACAAGCCGAAGGTCAGGGCAGGCTGAAGACTAGCATTTCCAGGAACAAGCCGAAGGTCAGGACATGGATAAACTTCAAGGAATTCAGCTTCTAGAGCAAAAGGCATCTAACTTAGGAAACCATTGCTCGGGCGGCAACCTGTGAGCTGCACTGGGTTTAAATAGAGTAACAAAAGGGAGGAACCACAGAACTGGCCACTGACCGCACTGATTGGT